AGTTAAATGAGGGTGATTATTTGATAATCCATATACCTAAAATATAACTAAAAAATTAATATGATATTAAATAATATTGTTATATTAATATAATGTATTATGGTATATACTTATAAGTATATATAATATAAGAGTTAAGAATTTTTATCTCCGATGAACTTCTTTAAAATTTGAAAACGGATTAAGATAATGGAGCTAACCATGTTGGAGATGAACTCGGTACACTAAAAGTAGGAGAGAACTTACAGGGAGGAGATGAACCTTAACCCCATCGATTCCGTGAGCCTCTAACTGAGAGTGAAGCTTCTCAATCTCAGACATTCCACCATCCCTTTTCCAATACTCGCTAAGCGCGTGCCAGGCGAACACACACTCCACCGTTGAAAACTCCTCCTTCAACGCCCTCACTAACACTTCAATGGGCCTCATACACTGCACCCCATTCTCCAACAAAACAAACCCCGGAGGACACCCTCCTTCAACCAACCCCGCCACCCCTTTGCGGACGTCTTCAGGTTCAAACTCCTCCCGCGTGCACCACCCGAACTTTTCGATAATTCTGGGGACGGTTTTTGATAAAATATTTCCAACATTTTATAAGTACGACTGTGTTCTGGGGCTGTTGGATATCAGAGTTTGTTCGCTCTGATACCATGATAAAATATTTCCAAAAACCGCTAAATATGGAAAAAAATAATCATATAGAATCATGCCATGATACGGTATTTGTAATCGTATATTCTATGTTTATCAGTTTTCTCTTCGAGGAGCTTGAAGGTTCCCAGGTGATCTCTCAGCACGCGCGCGGCTTCCTCCACCACAGTGTAAGGGTTCTCCCCGGCGTGAAGGTAAACCACGCTCTCGCACGAGGAAGTCGTCACGTGGCTAGATTCGCTCTCCAAGCAAACCGAGACTTTGTCGTCTGGGCCGGGCTGCAGCGTGACGATGGGGAGAAAAAGAACGTAAAGTCGGCTCGGGTTGGATTGGAGCAGGAGAAAATGGGTTTCGGTTTGGACGTGGCTGCCGTTTGAGCCGGTCCAGACCGCGTTCCGCCACTTCTGGAAGCGGTAGATGGAGACGAAGGTTGCGGGTTGGAGCTTGCCTAAGGTCGCCACATGGTGGGAATTTGGTGAGGTGGTCTTGACAACGATGAAGGAACCGGTGGTGGGCGAGTAGGTGCATGGAATGATGGTGATGTTGTCGGGCACTTGGGACATTATGACTTGTTCGTTTACTCTCAGGGTTGAGTTGGAGAGTTTGAAAGAAGAAGACGCAGGTTGGGTCAAAATTTGAGCCATTAGCGAGAAGTGTTTTGATTCAGGGTCCTCGACGAGGTTGTTGTGATCGGAGTGTTTTTTTTTTTATAGGCATAGGGTGTGGGCTCCATACAAAGCAAAATCACAACATCAACTGTGGTTTTATACGCAAGAAGAAGGGATATTTTTTTAAGAACTGTCCCAATGATACTTTTTTAAGAACTGTCCCACAAAGGATACTTTTCCAAGAACTGTGCCCACAAATTTGAAAGAGCCATCATTTATACACTTGTCCCACAATTTCTTTTAAATATGATTTGTTATGAAATAAATATTTGATTTTAGAATGCAAGATTGATAACAGTAAGTATTATTTATGTGCTGCTAAAAATTGTGAATGTAATGAATCATGGTCTTTTCTTTTTCCCTTTTAATCTAACGATGATGGTGGCCATTCATTTAATTCTCTCTATCCTCTTGTTCATATCGTTTTTATACATAACCATATATGTTCGTAGATACACTTTGATCGAATAATCAAAATTTACCCTACTTTGTTATTGAATAAAGATGAATACATATCTATTATTTTTAAACATTTAATTAATATATTCTTTTATTTATATTATTTTCTCTCTATATTTAGGTGTTATTTGACATTGATGTGGATGGATAACTTGTGTTAATTATTTGAGAGAAATTCAAAGCAACTGAATTAAAAAAGAAACATTTTTCTCTTGTGGGATCTACTTTTGACAACTCCTTCTTCCATTAGCATCCATCACACACTCCCTTCTAATAATAAATTAATAATAAACATACCAATAAAAGAGTTGTTCATTGGTTGTGTTTTATATGTCAATAGTATTTCTCAGGTTAGAGACAACAAAATAATATTTCTCAGCCGCATTGTAAGAAAATGAATGATTCATTTGTTTTTTACTATGAAACACTTAGGTTGTGTTTAAATATATTAATTTTGAACATGTTTTTAAATTTTATTTTTCTTTTTTTAATCATAATTATCTATTTTTAATATTAAATAATATTTAGTAGTTTAAGCATATCATTTTCTGAATTAGGATGACAATGTGTGATTTATTTATCCTTTTAGGAAAATAATAATGGATGATTTTTGTCCTTATTTTCTTACAGACTAAGACTATGAGAGTAAGGATGGTCCTCTGACACTCCTTCACACGGTTAGGTTAAGGAGGAAGAACGTAATAAACTGTTTCCTTCTTTTAATTTTTTGTCAGATCTAATCCTTGACAAAATTTCGACAGTTATTTCACACCGACCAGGGTCCACTCGTCGAAATTGTGATTCTTTGAGAATCTTTTCACTCCACTTGTCAAAATTTTATCAATATATATTTAAATCATATTACGTAATATAAGACGCATTCCTCCACTAAAATCGTTGAGCCGTAACAAAAAAAATTTATCCAAGACAATAATCGAAAATAGTAATAATATATGAAGTAAGATAAATCATACCGTGAAACATGAGTTTGAAAAGGTGATTCACAGCTAAATTTGTTTCTTCAAAATAACTTCTCTTAAGTTATACTGCAGCAAAATATCAAATTATAAAACTCGAGAGACTATTATTTCTTTGTAATCATTTTCTTAATTTAAGTTTTTTTATAAACATGTGTCTGGTGGAATTTTGATCGATTCCGATTCTTAAGAGATTTTGTTCTAACCAAAACTCAATCACGCAAGTTCTTTTTTACTTAGGCTAACAAATGTTTTTTCAATCGAGATGCATATGAGAATCGAAAATATCACAATATCGAGAAAATCCCACTAACGTGTCATGACTTATCGAAAGCACTATTTTTTGATATTTTGTATTTATATTACTCGAAGAGAAAAATGGCAGTAAAATATCAAATAAAAAAAAAACAGTACCGAATATTAAATTGCGAAGAAATGTAAAGTACGAAAACCTTAAACTTGCATTAAGTGTAAACGACAAGAAATCAAAATTGCGGAACTAACGGGAAATCGAGATTGCAGAAATGTAAATGGTAAAAAATCGAAATACGCGGAAATAGTAAATAACTGGAAATCGAATTTGCATCGAAGTTAAAGGACGAGAAATTTAAATGCGGAAAACTTAACTTCCATTAAACCGAAATTGACCGAGAATCGAAAACACAGAAACTTAAAGTTGCTAAACATAAAATGCATCAAAGTAAATTACCAAGGAAAACAAAGAAAGCGGTAAAAGTACTCAATGAGCGTGGAAATCCATATCGCCAGAAACTTCATGATGTTCGTCGTTCTCCGGTAGACTTCTCACTAGTATTCTGTTCTCTGCCAATTTTCCACCACTCCCCTCTCATCTTTCGCTCTATTTATAGTGTCTTTTCAAGTAGTTTCTTAAGAGCAGTTAACGAAAACTGCTACCACGTTCTCTGTGCATGTCTTTTTGCAGTTTTGCTCCTAGCTCTGTGGTTTAGAAACTGCATCCACGTTCCCATGCATGAGGTAACTGTTCCCTTGATCTTCGGCCTTAGTCACCGCTTACTATGTTCGATGTATATGTCGACTGTTCTTTTTAGCCAAAATTTCGATATTCGCGTATGTTAGCCTTCGAGACTTCTGGATTGCTTTGATTCTCAGATCTTAACGTTACATGATTTTGATTCTGATTTTCTTCACCAGGACGTTACGTTATCTCGATTCTGATTTCAATTCGATATGTTTTACTGGTCACGTGTCTTTCAATTTTCGATTTTCAATCAATTGATGTTCTCGATTTTTGCTTCCCTTCACTTTTTTGATCTTTTTATTGATCTCTTACTAACAAAATGCCCCCTTGGAAGGATATAAATAGTTTCCATTTATATTCTTTCAACACGATTCCCGCCTTTGCTTATTGGAGGCCCACAATAACTTAGGGTTTAGGGTTTCTGGGGTTTTTAGGATTTATGGGGTTTTAGGGTTTTTCTACTTTATGTTACCATCACGTCAGTCTGCTGCCTTACCTTACACGCCACATTAATTGTCCTCGCTTCTGTCGTTTCCAACACCCTAGGTAGGTTTCCCTTTTAAACTCTATTGGTTTTTTACCCTAGCTTTTTACACGAACTTTAACCCTTTGCAACTTCATCTTCTACTTGCGTTTTTGCCTTCATCCTTGCACTTCCCTGTTTTCCTTTAAGCTACCAGTAACTGCAATGGCGACCTCTTCCAAATCTTCTGACTTTTCAACCCCACCCCTTCCCTTATTGGCGTCTAGCCTGCTGGAGATTAATAATCAGAAGTTTGCTCCAGTTCCTTTAATGGAGGAAGCTTCTCAGAAAATCGCTGAGACGCAGGTACTCATCCCTTATTCTGCTGATGGTATAAATTTTGCTTTTGGGGGTCCTATTCGTTCTAGTGGTGAAACTTTTTCATCCCTCAACCTCTCGAATAGCCAGACTCTTATTCACCAAGCTGAAGTTCAGACTGATTTTTTGAATATGGTTTCTAAAGTATATCGAATGGGCCCCTCTTTCAAAAAACCCTCGTATATTAGGTGGTTTGATCGAGTGCAAACCAAGTTTGGGAACCATTGGAGGGATGTGGGGATTTTTGATTTCTTGTATTTGTCTCGATGCGACTTGTCCCATTTAGATATGACTATATTTTTGTCTGTTGTGCATCTATGAAATAAGGACTTGCATGCTTTGGAGTTACCTTGCGGTCCCTATTCGCCCACCCTCTTTGAGATTGCTGCTATTACCGGTTTGAAACCCACCGGGGAAAAGTATTATAAGGGTGTTTACCCTTCGGATAATTCCCTAAGGTCCAAAGTCGATTGGGAGTCGAAAGCTTATGGCCACTTTCTCGAGAGACATTTTATCGATGACCCAACGATTGCCATTTCTGATGAGGAGCACGTGGCCTTCTTGGTCTACTGGTTGTGCACTCATGTTTTCTGTCCCCGATCGATCCAAATTTCCTCCCACCTCTACCACCTTGCCTACCTTCTTCATACTGGCCAACCTAGGATATGTCTAGCCAAACTTTTGTTAGCCCATGTATATACTGCACTCGATGAGGCTGTCGAGATTTTGAGTACCCCCAAAGCTTCGGGAAATTTTTCTGGCCCTATTTGGTTTATACAGTTATGGATGAATTCAATTTTTGAGAGTATCCTTCCCCCAACTTCCACCATCCCCCCAAGTGTAAATATATAAGGTGCTCGATTGTCTTCTCGCCACCCTCACCACAAGCCCGACGAAACGGCTTATTGTAGATATCTTAAATTTTTGCTAACTAGGTTTAATTTCGATTCAACTTTGGCTCCTTTTACTGTGCATCTTGGAAGAATTAGTGATCAACTTCGAGGGCCAATTTGGTTTAAGTCAAAATTCCCTGCCTCAACCCCTGGGTTACAATTAGAGTTGGTCGATGTATGGAGTAATTATTTAACTCAGGATGTACTAGTATCGGGTTTCCAATCTAAGGATTTTAAGCTTATCACATACTACCCTCAACTTTTTTCGAGACAGTTTGGTTTGAGCCAATCCTTACCCTTCTTCCCCCTTGATACCTCCCCAAGGTCCAAGTTAAGTGAATCGACAATCGGACGGGAGCTGACCAAACTATTACCACAAACCCCACTACTTTTTTATCCCTATGCTTTCGAATCGAATTATTTATCCACTGTGGGTTTCTATCAATGGTGGGCCGATTGGTTCTCGAGTAATCATTCTGCTTTTGACGAAATCCGACAAAAATTGACTGTTCATCCTTCTCTTGTGTTGCAGGACAAATCGAAAGCGAAGAAAGGTACACACTTCCACTGTCTTCAAATATCTCGATTCGAGAATTTTTATCAAATATGTTACAACCCATTGAAATTAGAATCGACCTTCTATGATGTTGTTATTTCCTTATCCCATAAACAACCACCAATCGATCGAACCACAAAATAATCAATCCCTTAGGAAAAACCTCTTTTGAAATGTACTGTCCCAATCACCTTCCCACTTTTCCTACAACACCCTTTGGAATCGCCAAACCTTTAACTCATCCCAAATG